GCCCATAATATATCGGCCCAAATGATCCCTCCCTGGCTTCTTCTTCAAGCTCCCCCAAAAGAAGAAGTGTGTGCAGACAAATCTGTGAATTTGATCTTGAGAAACTTTGCCATCCGATTCTGTAATCAAGTGTTTTACTTCTTCGTTTTGATTTTCTTAGATGGAGTTTGTTGTTGAAGAAGGAAAGCGAGTGAGTGAAGAATGTTCGACTTTGATTCTCGTAAGTTGTTTCGTTTCCTTTTGATTGTTCTCTTCCTTTTGAGTATTTCCGTCTCTAAATCGTAAAAATCGTAACTTTATTGAGAAATTAGGTTGTAATTGACGAGAATATAGTAGAAAGTAGAAGCTCTACACTGAAGTTAGAAACTCACCAGCTGAAAATCATAGGACAAAGATGGGTTTTTTTAAAGAAACATTGTTTGATGCTTCTCATAAAACAAAAGTTTAGAGATTTATGATTTAAGAAGTTTAATGATTTTGTGTGTGTGTTTTCCCGACCAGCCTGCATTGTCAATTGGGAATGTAGGTCAGCTCGCTGTTGATCTTCTAGTGTCATCTACTGGTGCAGAGAGAATTGGTTACTTGGATGATCCGAATCTGCTTCCTTGTGTTGGAAATGACGCTTATGGTCCTCTTCCTTGTGGCGAAATCGCCCTTCCGCTCGAGGGTTTGTTTTCTCAAACTATCTGTTTCATTAAGATTGGAGTTTGATGTAATGAGGGATACTTGGTTTATATCATTTAGGAGAATTCTGGTGACTGATTTGGCCTTGTTATTCAATACCTTTATCCTTGTGAAACCTCAAAAGTTTTGAGTATCCCTTTGGTTGTGTTTTTTTGTTCAGTTTACGAGTCATTTTCGATTGCTACTACTCTTGCTCAGCAACGGTCTCCAGTCGCAAAGGTATTTTAGAAGCAATTGTTATGTTTGTTAGGACTATGAAAACCCAGTTAGCTTGAGTTTTTAGTAAAAAACTTGTGATTTAGTGACATTTTAAACTTTTAATGTTTATTTAAAACAGGGAATGATGATTAAATTTGCTGAGAATATAGCTGAATTTGCTGCTTCAAGTGGAAAGAAGCATGTAGTTGTGCTCTCAAGTTTAGATTTCCAAAGGCTGCATAACTTGGATATGTCAAGGTAAACTATAATGCCTCTCTTATTCTGTGTTTAGGATAAATGACTTCTTATGCCTTCAACGTAAAACTAAATATGGACTAGTGCTAACTACATTAGAATCTGTAAATTGGGGAATTGATGGATAAATGAGCTTCACTTGTACTTTTCTCTCTCTCTCATTCTTGCTAAGAGCAAAATCTTCACAAGTTAATTTGTGTTCTCCTTGGCAACTACATTAGAGGCCCACAGGTGTATTACTTATCTAACGTCGAATCTGATGGAAGAGATGATCACTGTGAAAGGCTCGGATTTGGAAGATTGCACGAGTATGATTCAGAAGGAAGATGTTGGAAGTACCTTAGCTCTGTCTTTGATGAGAACAATAAAGAAGAACTGACTTTCCCTTCAGAAGATGAGCTCGAAGACATAGACTATTACCCAAGCTTGCCATTTGCAGCTCTTTTCTCAGCTTTTAAGGTAAATAAATGCCTTGTAATGAACAATTTAAACACACGCTGACTTGCTTTAAATGATTGAGACACTTATAATTCCTGCGCCGGGTTTATTTTTGGGGTTAGGCAAAAGGCTTGGTGGTGACATGCCTGCTATGTTACTGTTCTGAAGGAGACAACATTCCCGATGCATTTCTTCTAGCAGAGGCTGCATCTAAGCTTACGGGTCTGAGTCCCGACAAGTTCCGTGGTAATAAGTTCCCTTCTCTCAAGGTTAATAACATTCTCGAGCAATCAAACCGTGAGAGCCAATGAAACTTACTATAAATCTTGTTTTCTGCAGGGGAAGAAGGTGGAAAATGGCGGATACCGTATTCGTGGAAGAGTATGTATGGAGCTCCTCCAGATATGTCCATGTTTTGAGACTGTTGTAGGAGCTCACAGGAGCCAGATTGAGGTTGTATTAGTAAAAGTATGATTCAATGTGAAGTTTTTGAACATTTGAGAATGGTTTAATCCGATAGAGAACTTTTTCCTGTGGATTTCATCATAAAATCTGCTACAAGCTTAAATGTAGAATTTCATCATGATGGCCTATATAGAAAAACCCTTCTGATCTGATTTTAGCATATGTGCTAGTAATATAACATCTTTTGAGAGATTCGTACACATTTATTTGTTTGAATTCCAGTCTGATTTACTTGTGTAGATTTGAGTGTCTAATTGGGAATTTCTTCTCTTTTATTCAAATGTTTTCAGGGAGAATCTTGTTTTGAGTGTGAGGCTTCTGGTTAACATACAATGGGCTTGAAAATCAAAACTGTGATACATGACATACAAATTGATGTTCCATATCAGCTAAAGGTTGTTGTTTAATATTTTGGTTTCTTCCTTTTACTGCCTCGTGCGGGTCGTTTGGTTTGGGCTAAACTTGGAACATAAGAACACAACACTGGTGGGTTAGCATACATGTGTGAAGCTTATCCTACATCCACTTTCTTGAAATATCCATCCTCTCCAATAACATAAGCTGCGACGCGTATCATCTTCTCATCGTCTTTATCAAAAACCACATCGACTTTCTTCTCCTCGTCAACAAAGAAACCCCCACCGTCAACAGGAAACTGAAAATTCATATCCACTGCTAAGAACAACTTGCTCCACGACGCCATTTCGGGTTCAATCGTAGTCGTAATCCATATCTCCATATGGAATGTATCCCATCTCTGAAACAGCACCGCAAGTTGCTCATCCCTAACACTAGATAAAGTCACGGTACCTTCGACGTAAGACTGAAACGGTAGACTTAGACGCGGTCCAAATCTCTCTCTTGTGAAATCAAAACAGATCAAGAAATCAGGGATCACAGTTCCTTGTATATGGAATCGATAGTGTCTTTGGGCAAACCAATAAGTATTTCCCTTGACAGACACGACGTTTGCGTATCCCTTTATCATCCAGTCCGTAAGGATAGTGATAGGGATAGWGATATCCCTAGATGATTTAGAGTTTAAGTAGTAGAGTTCATAGCGAACGTGTTGTAAGGAAGTTGGAAAAAATCTCAAAACTTTGTGGCTGTGGTAAGATTTGCTATTATCGTATCCTATAGCATAGCTYTAGAAAGATTCATCAGGGTCATAAMTTATTGGTTCAAGGCAACGGGTTTGGCCAGAGTAGGGATTCCAAACAAGGAAGCTAGTCTGGAGTGGTCCGGTGATGCATAAKAATAAACCGTCGCAGTGATAGACTTTASATATTTCGACTTSGCCTGGATCAGTTAGGCTAACGAGTTTACCTTGATGATTTATTGATGGCTCAACGTTGTTGTGAATTCCATGGAGGTTGACGCTCATCAAAGAAACCTGATTTTCCATCGACATGACCACCATAAACTCCATTGTTGCATTTGCTTTTGCTTCACGGAACCTGAAGCTGATGAGATTTTTGGATAAATTGTTCCACTTTTTGCAGGTGGATCGTACTGCACACATAGATTTCGCCGGAAGCCTAGCGAGCACATCTTCTGCCAAATCCCTAGGAAGATTGGACAACATCTTCAATTCTTTCGAGTTTCAACAAGGATCGGTGTATTAGGTTTAAGCGTCAGAAAAGAACTCTCCTTTTCCTCTGTTGTTGTTACCGCAGGAGCCCTAGCTGAAGCTGGACCAAATCGTTCTTTAGACTCCAATGGGCTCTAAATATGGCCCAACACAATTCTAACGCAAATCTCAAATTGGAATGCATGTTTTTTTTTTTTATGACCGGTTATGCGTTTTTCGTGTGGATGCAAAACAAATAATTTTCATGAACAAATAATGTAAGAAATATCTCCAGGACTAAAAAGCAAGTAGTTGAGCAATAAATTCTGGAGTCATTGTGTGTTTATTGTATAGATAGGCCAAGGCAAGTACTTCTGACCGGTTTTTAAGTGCACCTTTTATTGTCATCAGAAAACAAATAGTTACATGTATTAGTAGTATATTGTAAGTAATTCTGGATCTTCAAAGAACTCATGGGGACCTAACTTTTTATGGAATATGTACATGTAATTTGATTAGTGGGTTTCTTTTCTTCTTCATATTTTTCCTATGTAGAAAAGTATATATATTTAACAATTATAAAGTCTTAGATTTGACTATCGTAATCTTGATTCTTCAACTCTTATCATACTAGTAAACCGAAAAGGTCACATTTGATGAATTCATGCATTATATTTAACATTCGTGGAATTTATTTACCACCAAATAAGCACGTCTTTGGTCATATATAAAATTAGGTATCGCAATTATCCACTTCAATGGATGATCACGCGGTATGAACAAATGGAGATAAAAGAAAGAAAATACAGAAAGAAGAATTTTTCAAAAGGGCTTGGATCCAACAACAATAATACATACAAAAAAAAAAAGTCATAAAAATCCACTTAATAAAGTTCCCAAACCATTAGTATCAGAGTGGGTCACCACATCAAATCCACATTAAAATCAAACAACCCTAAAGTAGCACTATCATTTTATTTTTTTTTAACCCCTGGTCACTCCATATTGCTAGATTTTGCTAATCTCTCATTCTCCATTGAATTATGTTATTAGTTATTACAGTTACTTATTTGCAGAATTGCATTCCCCTAAATAATAATGGTACGATCCAAACATTCTATCTAATTCAGAACCAAAATACCTTTGTTTGGATTTGTTTCCAAATTTGCAATAATTTGATTAATTATTAACCATTTTAGTGTTTTGCATCAAATTTGTAAAAAATAATGACGTGGCACTTAAGTCATCCCAATACCGTTTACCTTTAGTCAACTCTTTTATTTTTTTTCTTCCCCAAATACTCATTTACGTTAAACCTTTCACTGGAAGCTCTGTTTTAGTCTCTTTCTTCGATTTCGTACCCTTTTTTTTTATAAATTACCAAACCACCATGCGATTCGTCGCGCCACCGCCTATATCCGGCGATATCTCACCGTCTCCTTCACCATCTCCTTCACCGTCTTCCGGTGTTTCCGAAGAGATTCTTTCTCGTTCTTCAGATCCTCCTCTGGAATTCAGTCCTCCGTTGATCGCTATGGTGGTGGTTTTAGCCGCCGCTTTTCTTTTCGTCACTTACTCTCGTCTCATCTCCCGCCGTTTTATTTCACCTCTCTTCCGTCGTTTCCGACGTTGGCGATGCCGTCGGAGACGTCTCCTTCACTTATCCTCTGCTTCAACTTCATCCTCCGATCTCCGATCATTTTCCCCTTTCCCTTTCGACTCTTTCCATTACTCTTCGTACTCACCTTACGGATTAGACGATTCCGTTATCAAAACGCTTCCGCTGTTTCTTTACTCCGCCGCCGCTTGCACCGGAAAAAGCGTTTCCACCGCTACTCCGGCGGGGAAAAATTCCGCAGATTGCGCCGTTTGTTTGTTGGAATTCGAAGAAGGAGATTACGTACGAACGCTTCCTTTATGCTTCCATGCTTTTCACCTTGAATGCATCGATGAATGGTTGCGATCTCACCCTAACTGTCCTCTCTGCCGCACGGCGATTCTCGGATCCGGCGTGTTCGCTCCGACGTCGCCGTTCGTTCCTCTAATGGCTCCTCGGATCCGTCCAAGCTTCGACGATGAAACAAACGCGATCGTAACCCCTAACCGGAACACAATCGCTGCTACGGTGACGACGATCGATCAAGAGATCACGGCGTCAGTGGAAGAACAATCACCGGCAATTTCTCGATTCCGGGAACTGAAGAGATCGTATTCGTTCGATTACGAGAGAGAAGAATCGGTTTCGGAGAGAGTAACGATGGAATCGTCGACGGTGTCTCCATGGAGATACCGTCGATCTACATGGAACAACAAGCAGCGACAACAATCTCCGTTCGGAAACCTAATATCGAAATCGAGAGTGTTCTCTTTCCGTTACTACAGAGGAACGAAATCACCTTTCTTCCGGCGACGATCGGGAGTGTTTTTCCCGATATCGGAACGGATTCCGGCGACGGGAAGCTCATCTTCACGGCGGACGAAATCGATGACGAGTCCGATGTTTTTCAGAACAGCACCGCACTCGTCGAGCAGGCTAAGATGCGGAGATCCAGAGGCACTGTTATCGCCGGAGAGATGGAGAAGAAGGGACACGTGTAGGGTAGATATGTAGATGATGAAATGGACGGTGGTGATTGATAGGAAGAAGAAAAAATTGAAAGTGGGAAGGAGAAAGAAAAGAGCGCATTAATGGAATGTGGGGTTTTGGCATTTAATGGAATTAAAATGAACGAAACAGAGAAAGATAAGAGATTTTCAGAAAATCCTCAAAACCTCTCTGCTTCACAACAAGGTTCGTTTATTTTATTTATTTTTGTATATATAATAATAGCCATACTTTATAATATTTCACCTCTCTTATTTAATGCTGTTTTTTTTTTCCTCAGCTAAAATACGGATTTCATTTATGAATGTCATAAAACTACTTTGAATTTTCGTGGACTATACATCTGATTTATTAATCAAAAATGTGCAGGGCTATGTGGAAGGTATTGGAGCCTGTCCGACGACGTTTTTGGATGTTTTTTAAAATTATATATATTTATCTTGGAGTTATCAAAATGCATTAACTTCGTACAAAGCTGCCAAAGTTATTATAGAAACGAAGTCAACACCAATCAATCAAATTTCGTTTCTATAATAACTTTAAAAATCGTCGGTGGCTTATTGTTTTTTGTTTTGTTAGGGAATTTTATGTTTGCTTAGGTTTTTGTTCATATTACTACAATTTTTCTATTTAGTTGTTGACTAAATTTGACCAGAAATAATTCGCAATTTATTAGATTATGGAGAATGATGTTAAACATTTCAGAAGATGTGGATCTAATGCGTCATTGTTTTGTCCTACAAAATGTACTAATCTCCAGTCTCCACAAGATTTTGTGCTAATAAACAAAAATTAGAGATAACATTGTAGATATTTTATATGGGAGCTAGAACGATTAGCCTCTTATAATATTTTGATCAATTGAAATACGTAGTTGTCAATCACAATGATTAAGATCCTAGTTTGAAAGAAAAAAAAACTATTATTAAAAACCAGAAAAAAAAAAACACAATGTGATGTAAATTTCTTGGATTCTTTTGTTTTAAAAAAAAAGAGATATGGTCATGGATGGATACAAAAGTATTTCAGTTATATTGCACCACTAAATATATAACAAATTGTTAGATGATGCTATTAGCTGTGATACTCTTTCTCTAGTATTATTTATATATATCGATAGATTTACGTTTTAGATTGGAAAATTTTATTACTAGTATTGAAGTTTCATATTAGTTCAGCTTCAGTAATTCTAAAACCCCAAGGATTATTCCCGGGAAGGTTTTTTAGTAAATACTATCGAATAAATCACATGGACCGAATAATGATCGATCAAGGCCCAATTTACGGGTCGGTTAATTTCCAAATTTATACAGTAAGAAAAGAATAGACGGCAAAAACAAAACAAGTTACAAGAAGGTTTAGGGTTTTACAATTTGG